TGAAGTGTCTAAATTATCAGAAATTCAGTATGAATACAAGAAAACTAAAGTATTATAATTAGGTACTCAAAACGCAACATTCAAAACTTAAACATACCCTCTGAGAATTTGGAATTCGATGGTCAATGGAATTACTGGCATCTTGAAGAACTTTAGTGGAGGTACTGGCTTTGTATTTTTTCCCCTTCAGTCTGTTGACAAAGAGTAGCTTTGCAGATGGTTTGTCAATAAAAGGTTTTTGTTTAGCAAGAATTTCACTGTTCCAATTCTGTACCTACAAAATTGCAAGTGGAAAGCCAGACATGAAAAACCCCAACCCTTGGTTTTTGGAAATACTGGCCTGACATCTTTATCCACTAGCTATTAGGATGGGAGAATTGTAGATCTCTGAGTGGGTTTGTGATGGTGGTTGTTTGTATGTTTTGACTGTAGACACAGGGTCTCACTGTGTAGCCTACGCTGACCTGAAACTCACTATGTCTCCAGGATGGCTTTGACCCTGTTGTCCTCCTCCTTTAACCTCAGGAATAGATAACTTAAGAGTCCCTTTCTTTCAGCATATTCAAGAGCTGACTGTGGGACTGTGGGTGCTTTTATGAACCTAAGAGTAAGAAAACAAAGTGTGCCAAAAATCCTATAAAAACAAAAACAAAATCTGAATGGTCAGGAAAGCATTATTCTGGACATGAAGTACACAAAAATCTGTCACAACTAGAAATTTGAGGCGTGCGTGCGTGCGTGCGTGTGTGTGTCTGTATATCCCCAGGCTGGGTCTTCCTGTAGCCCCAGCTAGCCTGGAACTTGCCATGTAGACCAGGCTGGCTTTGACCTTGCAGACATCCACCTGCTTCTGCCTCCCCTATGCTGGGATTAAAGGTGTATACCATCATGCCCAGCATATATAGAATTTTGTTGTTGGTTTTCTTGGGTCTTTTTGAGTCAGAGTCTCCCTGTAGCCCCAGCTGGTTATACAGACCAGGCCAGCCTCAATCTCACAGAGATCTGCCTGCCTCTGCCTCCTGAGTGCTGAAACTAAAGGCATTCAACACCACATGCAGCTCATACATAGAATTTTAACCACAGCCGGGCATGGTGGCGCACGCCTTTAATCCCAGCACTCAGAGGCAGAGGCAAGCAGATCTCCGTTAGTTCTAGGCCAGCCTGGTCTACATAGTGAGTTCCAGGACAGTTGGGGCTACAGGGAGACCCTGTCTCAAAAAGACCAAAGACATGAGTATCTAGTTGGGCATGGCAGCACATGCCTTTAGAGGCAGGAGGATCTCTGTGAGTCTGAGGCCAGATTGGTCTACATAGTGAGTTCCAGGCCAGCTGGGGCTACTGGGAGACCCTGTCTCAAAAAGACAAAAAAAAGAAAAAAAGAATATCTACATTGATGCTGTAATGGGATTTGGCATTCATTTCCTTTCCAAATTCTCCAACCTATACAAAAATTTTCAATGTAATCATATTTTTTAATCATAACTAAAAATTTATTTATTATTTTTAATAATCATATTTTTAAAGAAAGCAATGTTAATAAATTTTTAAATAAAAATGAATATAATGTTTATATAGTAAAAGTGACTTTTCTGTTGATAGAACTAGACTTTTCATTAAAACGTATGAAATTCTCAATAGACAAAAATAATTTGACAAATCTAGTTTATCAGATTTCTCTGGCATGAGAACTGTAAGTTCAAGATCAGCTTAGGCTACACAGGAGGACCTTGTCTCAGAAACAATAAAAACAAAACAAAAAGTAGAACTAGCTTCAGTGTGCATGACAATATCTAGCAGACTCCAAATAGCAAGTATTAGGTGCAGAGGAAAAAATACACATTCCATACAATTCGGTAACATTTGCAGTTTTGACATTCAAGATTTTAAGTGTTAGCAAGTCACTCTTTAAAGGTCTGTGCTAGGTAATAACTATTTCGGTAAAGCACACTTTCTTGAAAAATTCATGTATCCTCAACTGCATAAATATTAAGTATATAACTGGAAGCTATATAACCCTTACTCTAATCAAGATACACAACTCTGTCAACTCAGAAGAGTCTCTTATGAGGTACAAACTGGACCCAGCCCCTGCTCTAAGGCTCCCACAGGAGTGAGACAAACTAGCTAGAAGTAAATCAAGCCATCAATTCTTTTTCATCCACAACTCATAATGGAAAATTACTTGTGAGAGAAAAATTGCCCTGGATTTAAGAATATAAAACTGGGAGCTGGAGAGATGGCTCAGTGCTTAAAAGCAATGGCTGCTCTTGTAGAGGACCTGAGTTCGATTCCCAGCACCTACAATGGCAGCTAGCTGTAACTCTAGTTCCAGGGGAATCCAGTGCCCTCTTCTGACTCCAAGGGCACTGTACAACATGGATGTACCTACACACATGTAGGCAATATACTCATACACATAAAATAAGAATAATAAATATTTTTCAAAAGAATATAAAACTACCTAACACAAATTGGAACATAAAATATCGAAAATGTTCTATGTAGTTATTTACACTTTTCAACACTAAGACTAGAGTAGACCTAGCATGTACCTTTTTTATCTCCCTGATAATGTTTCAATTTTTAAAAATTTACAAAGTGAAATATTCACACAGTTCAAACTAAGACTAGAGTAGACCTAGCATGCACCTTTTTTGTTATCTCCCTGATAATGTTTCAATTTTTAAAAATTTACAAAGTGAAATATTCACACAGTTCAAAAGAGTGTATGAAGTAGTTTTAGCCTGTTCTAAACACTCAATCTTTTTTTTTTTTTCCCCCTTTTTTGGTCTTTTTGAGACAGGGTCTCCCTGTAGCTCCAGCTGTCCTGGAACTCACTATGTAGACCAGGCTGGCCTTGAACTCACAGAGCTCTGCCTGCCTCTGCCTCCTGAGTGCTGGGATTAAAGGTGTGCGCCACCACACCCAGCTACACCCAATCATTTTTACAGAAGTAATTGTAATGTTTCTTATGTATCTTTCTGGAAATGTTACATGAATCTACAGAGGATATATATGCATATATCCTTTTACTAAACAGATGACAGTATGCTGGACACATTCTTTTTGCATTGTACCCTTTTATGATTCTTTTTAAAAGCAAATTATTAAGTGATAACCACATAGGACAAGTCTTATTTAATCTCTTTCACTTAAGGTAAAATTTACTAAACTATTGTTAACAACTCACAAATTTAAAACATAAAGCCAACCTTTTCTGGTGTTAACTTCATAAGTTCCATATTTTCCATACTGTGTCTTCGTCCCAACTTGGGGCGTGCACCTTTGCAAAAAAAACAAATTTGACTCAGATAAGCCAGGGAGCCTTTTGGCACAGAATTAGTATCACCATGATTCAATTCTCAAGTCTGACTCACAAACCCCTATAAAAAGAGCAAACACACAGATTTTTGTCTGAAGAATAGAATTACTACTTTGTACACTACATAAAAGTAGACAGTCCCTCTAAATTGCTTCGATGTAAGGAAGTTACATTTTGGTTGGGAACTAATCACTGGTTACCAACATTACCCCCTAATTTAGAAAAGGCATTTTATAATAACTAGTTTTATACAATCCATGTAGTCTCAAAAAAAAAAAAAAGAACCCAAATAAATTGTAGAGTGGTTTAAATAAGTAAAATCATATGGAAAGGTTTAAGGCTTCAATTTTCAAAGAATTAAAAAATAATACACTGTTAGTCTTTTCTTTTTTTCTTTGGTCCTTTTTTTTTTTTTGAGACAGGGTCTCCCTGTAGCCCCAACTGTCCTGGAACTCACTATGTAGACCATGCTGGCCTTGAACTCGCAGAGATCTGTCTGCCTCTGCCTCCCAAGTGCTGGGATTAAAGGACTGCACCACCACACCAAGCTGGGCTAGTCTTTTCTAAGTTAACCCTTTCCATTCTAAGATGGGTTTACTGCTAATCAGGAAATAATAAAGGTTCTTAAAAATGACTTTTCAATAAAAGTATTAAATATAAAGCATAGAGATTTCTACAACCATCCAATCTTTTAAAAATTAAATAGAGGTTTCAAAAAGCACAATATAGCTAGCTGGACAGGGTGGTACATGCCTGTCAGCCCAGCATTCAGAAGGCTGAGACTGGAGGATCAAAAGTTGAAAGACAGCCTGAACTGTATGTATCGTGAGTTCAAGGCCAGGCTGGTACACAAAGCAAGACCCTGTCTCAAAACAAACAAACAAAACCTAGACAACAAAAGGGCATAATATAAAGGATGTCTGATACCTAAATACCCAGCTTTAAAAGTATGACCAACATAGAAATCCACCTGTGTAAGTCCCCTGATCCATAAATTCCCTCTTCACTCCTGTACTTTTTTCTCACCAGTCCTCTCCTAGAACCTTGCACATATAGGTAAGCACCTTACCGTGGAGGCTTTTGTCCTGAGTATATTTTTACCTGGTATCAACATGGCTGTACCACTCTCCTTTTGGTTTTGACATAATTTTTTCTTCTATCCTTTTATTTTCAGGCGTATTATATCTTAGTATTTTAGATAGTTCCTTATAAATAGTTGTATAGTTAGATTTTATTCTTTTTCCAATCTGATAACTGTTTTTTGAGACAGGGTTTCCCTGGCCTAGAACTCACTATGTAGACCAGGTTGGTCTTGATCTCACAGAGATCTTCCTGCCTCTGCCTCCCGAGTGCTGATACTCTTAAATATTTTCATTTAATAGAGAATTGATGACCCATTTGGATATTTGGGTTACTTTCACGTTCATATTTACTATTCTTACTGGTGAATTACATTAATTGATTTTCTAATCCCTGGGGTGTTTTTCCCATTACAGTCTAATTAAAGTTAAATAATACAAAAACCTTTCCTCTCTTTCACACTAACCACATTTTTCTTCCCTTTTTTTCTGGTCGTTTTGAGGCAGGGTCTCCCTGTAGCCCCAGCTGGCCTAGAACTCACTCTTTAGACCAGGCTGGCCTCGAACTCACAGAGTTCCGCCTGCCTCTGCCTCCCAAGTGCTGGGATTAAAGGCGTGTGCCACCATGCCCAGCATTGCAGTAACCACATTTCAAATGTTCCACAGCTATGTGCATGGCTAGTGGCTATTTTACTGAGCAACACAGAGAACTTTTCTACCAGCACAAAAACTTCTACTGGAAGTGCTGAACCAGAGCATTGGATAAAACTACCAAGATGGAACAAAGACAGGGGAGGAAGACGGGGAGGCAGGAGACAGTCAAGAACTGAGCCCTGAGCATTACACATTCATAGGCCAGAAGGATGGCGCAGAGGACAAGGAAGTGGACTGTGAGTGGCAAGGCAGAAAGCAGTATAACCCTGAAGCGCAGAGGAGAGAATCTGAGGCAGGAGCAGGAAACACTGCTGAGAAAGCAAACCGACATCTGTGAGGATGTGTCTGGTAAACTGTAGGTGTCCAGGGGCCTTGACAAGTGGCGCTATGCTAGTGTACTGGCAGAGAGTCAGGAATGGGTTCAGGAGGAGGGAAGCTGAGAGAGGAGTTAGTTCACAGGAGACACGCAGTTCTAAAACATGAGACTTCTTATGTAATCTATTTGAAAGTTAAATAGAGGAAAACCATTTATTTTATCCCATTACAATATCCAATTAGCAAAGCCCACACTTCAGAACCTTGTATGTCTTTCTACTATATTAATATGATGATTAATTATGAGTTTCTTGTCCTTCATGAGTCTGGAGAAAAGAGCTGGAATGACAGAAGCTAATTTTCACTGGCTTTCAAGTTTAAAATATTTTGTGTCAGGTCAGGCATGGTGGAGCATGCTTTTAATCCCAGCACTTGGGAGGCAGAGGCAGGCGGATCTTCTGTGAAGTCAAGGCCAGTCTGGTCTACGTAGTGAGTTCCAGGCCATTTGGAGCTACAGGGAGACCCTGTCTCAAAAAGACCAAAA